TTCTGAACCAAATTAAAATAAGCATTTTTAAATTAAATATCCAACAGGGATCACTTAAAACAGAAATACTCAATATAGGTAGCCTCCAAACCACAGTCCCCCCCCTCGGCCCCCATCATATACACAAGGGTCTGTCTGCCTTCTTGCAGTGGGGGAAGAGGGTCACTCTAACATGTCCACGGGAAGCTGGTGGGAGAAATTTCACAGAAACTACATGGGCTCAGAAAATGAGGAAGAGAAGGAGGTGTGAAGTCCAGGAGGAGCCAGGGAGCCTGACCCGGGGTGAGGGGGGTGGGGGGCGGGGGGGGGGATGCGGTGGTAGAATTCCAGGCAAGGCCACCCTGACTAGTGCTGACCAAATGATGACTTCAGGGCCCAAAAGAGCCTGCCTGTAAGGCTTGCATTTCTTTCACTGTCCTTACTATGTTGTGCTACTTGAAATTCCACCATTTAGAGCAATGTCTTGGCAGAGGCTGAAAAGGAAGGGGGAGGCCAGAAAAAGGCGTTCACTGGGCTGCTGGAAGGAGGAAGATGGCGACTAACAATGGCAATACTTATGGGGCATGGGTTTTACAGCGCATTATCTTGTTTAACCCTCATCGCAGCCCCTGAGACGGTTTTAATACTGTCCCCGTTTTCCAGATGAGGAAACTGAGGTTTAAGAGAAAAGCAATAGCTGGTTATGTGCCCAGGCTGGGATCCAAACCCTAGTCTGATCTGACTGTGTGAAGTGCAACTCTTGCCTGTTGAAATTCCCCGATTTCTTGCTCTGTGCCCTCTTTCTGCAGATTATGGGACCGACACCCCAGGAAGAGGCTCTAGCCTAATAATATTGTGAATTATATTTTAGCTATATTATGGTTTACACCTAGATTTGTGTGGTCCAGCCCAGGCTTGATTTATAAGATTGTTTTCATAGAAAATTTTGTCACTTGCTACCAAACTGGTGGAATATAATCCCATCATATTACCATAAGTTGTGCACTACCTATAATTATAATTTAACAAATGCTCACTGTTTCTTCTACTTGGCTTCTAGGCACACAAAAAGTCCACTGTCCTAGCCCAAGGCAGTTCATGTTTAGTTTTGGTTTACAATACTGCTTAAGCATACCACACTATACATCTACTAGGATAGTATGTGCCGTGAAGGCAGAGACTTTTGTCTATTATATGTACCAGGGATTTCCTAGCACCTAGGACAGTGCCTGGCACCTGTAGGCAGACATTATTTGTTGAACAAATAAATGTTTTTAGATCACAAATTTTATTTTATTTATTTTTTTAATGTTTATTTTATTTTTGAGAGAGACAGAGAGAGAGAGGGAGAGAGAGATACAGCATGAGCAGGGAGGAGCAGAGAGAGAGAGAGAGAGAATCTGAAGCAGGCTCTAGGCTCTGAGCTGTCAGCACAGAGCCCGACATGGTGCTCAAACCCAGGAACTGCGAGATCATGACCTGAGCCGAAGTCAGATGCTCAAGCAACTGAGCCACCCAGGCGACCCTAGGTTGCAAATTTTAAAATCACATGCACTTTCTGCTTTTGCTTGTGAAACACAGAGCTGTCATATACAGCCGAGATCCAGCATACATGACGATTAACGAACCTTTAATAAATTCAGACAACCTTGTGCAACAGGGTTTGAGTCACTAGTTGAAGACCTTCCTCCCTAGGTAGCAAAACCAAAAGCTCTGCATCTCAGTGGTTTGGGGAAACTGGTCCCAGTGTCTGCAGACTGCCACCCACCGTGGTGGAACTCTGGCACTTTGGACACGCTGCTTTACCCTGAGGACCACAAGGGGTTAACTTTCAGCCCTACAATGCTGACATCTGCTAATTTCACCTTCTTTTTCACCTCCTAGGTTCCTGCTCTAATCACCCTTTGAAGAAGATACTGACAGAAAACAAAAGAAAAAGATAGCTAAAGGGAAAAGTCTTGGATGCCCCAAAGGGAAAACCACAAGTCATTGAGTTTAGACAAGTTCGTAGTTGCTACAGGAGGTAGCCACAGCCCTTTTACTTGATAGCCAACCTATAGGCAAGCGAGCCAGCTATGCATTCTATTTGGTGGTTCACCTTGTGATGATGCAGAAACAGAATTCTGGCCATTTCGTTTACATTGGGAGCAGAACACATACAACCTCAGGAGTGAGTGCATGCAGTCCAGCCCCCTTTGAACAGAGTGGCTGTTAAGGTGGCCCGAAAGAGCCTTTGCTCAATCACTGAGCCACAAGCATTTGAAAATAAGAGGGGCGATTTTCGAATGAAATGAGTGACTTAATGTTTTCTACATAAGCCTTAACCAGTTGCACGGTGTAGAGTGCAAGATATACATGTCAGCACTGTGACAGGGGCATGCTGACTCTGGTTGAGTGTTCGAAGTCTGCACATTGTCATTATTCTGCCTTCCCTGCACTGACAGCTTGCTACCGAATTGAACATACCTGGAAAGAAGTCAACTTGGCTTACAATGCAGCTCAGTTTCTCTTTGGAATGTTTCCGTTTCAAATGTCCTCTAGGATCTACTGGGTCTTGCCATAGATAAAACAGAATCGGGTGTGTTCTGCTGGTTCAAATGTAAACACAGTAGTAGGAGTCTTGTCCAGTGATGACTCAGCATCAGTTTTGGAAAAGGGAAGTAATGTCCCTTCTCCCACCAGTCCTTTGCACACCCCACCCTGCCCTAATCAGTGGGATTATGCTACCTTGTTTGCTTTGTTACCGGTTCTATCTTACATGGGGCATAGGTTTTCTTAGAGTATTATCAAATCATAGGGATTCAACCCTGACTGCACAATACAGTTACCTGGGGGACATCTAAATCTCCAAATGCCCAAGCCACACCCCAAACCAACTAAATCAGAATCTCTCAGGGTGAGGTCCGGCATCAGTATGCCATTAAAGATCCCCAGGGGATTCCAGTGAGGGGGGGGGGGTGTCTCTCCTCCTGAGCCTTTACCCAGAGGACAGTTAGGGCAGGAACATGAAGGCTAAGGGGACAAAATCTCATAGCCATTGGCGTTTGGGAGTGGAAAGGTCTCCCTTTATGGCATGGTTGTAAACTTCACTGAGGTCTAAAGTAAGTAAGTAACTTGTCCAAAGTCAGAATTAGTTGAAAGCAGAGCCAGCATTGAATAAGCTGAGGTAGACATGATACTAATATGCTAATTAAATTTCCATGAATTAATCAGCTTCATAATCAGGCCCAGTCATATTTCTCCTGAACATCCTGGCTAGAGAACTATTATCTAACACTGTTCCTCTGGCCTAGGCTGTTTGAGTGAACGAAAAGCCGCTTACTCAGCTCTCATGGGTACTATTCTGAAGACAATGGCACTAAGGGGCATTTTAAATTTAAGTTTCTGTTGGAGAAACATTTATATACTACTACTACTACTAAACATTTATATTGTTTCTGTTGGAGAAACATTTATATACTACTACTACTAAACATTTATATTCTACTAAAGTAGAAATTCATGGTTGAAACCAAAGCCTTTAAAAATAGGTTTATATACGGGCGCCTGAGTGGTTCGGTTGGTTAATTATCTGACTCTTGGTTTCAGCTCAGGTCATGGTCTCACAGTTGGTGGGACTGAGACCGGAGTGGGGCTCTGGGCTGACAATGCAGAGCCTGCTTCGGATTTTCTCTCCCTCTCTCTGCCTTTCCCTCACTTGTGCTCTCTCTCTTTCAAAAATAAATAAATTTTAGAAAGAAAAATAGGTTTATACAACTAACTGACAGAAACTCTTGGAACAGTTACTTTAATTTCAAGGGATCAACGGATGTTCTTTTCCTAACCCCAAGTCACTCCTGAAGTCTTAATTTGCCTTAAAAAATGCACTTTTCCCCCTTTTCTTGGGACTTCTGGAAGAAGATGCTTTTATTGTTGTAATTAAGCATAAAATGAGCACATCACGTTTCCTGCACTGTTTTTAGCTCAAGGCCACTAGGTTTGGGGGACTCTTTAGCATACAACTGACTTGCCCGGGGGCTGCTTCCGTTGTGCACTTGACTTCAGTTTAAGTACAAAATAGCTAGAGGGAGTAGCCAGGGTGACATCCAGGCTACAGCTCACCATTGCTTTATATCGGGGTTGTGTCAAATTTTCTACTGCTACCTCTGTTACCTACATATTTCCCCAATAACCTCTAACTTTTAATGTATGCACATACCTTGCTTTAAGCAACAGATAAACTTCTGAAGAGCAGAGGGTAAATTATATCAAATCACAGTTGACATGCCCTAATAGAGTGCCATCTAAAACATTTTTGAGGGGGAAATCACAGTTATTTATTTATCTATCCATCTATGTAGTCTTTTCTTAAGAGTTAATATTGTCGCGTGTGCAGTGAACTACAGCTTTTTTCCCCCTAGTCCTAGCTAGCACTCTTCACCGTTCAGTCTTTCTAGAACCGGAACTTTTCTGAACAGATTTGACACTACCCAGATGCTTGTTCTGGAAATCGAGGCCCTTCTGTGTTTTCTCTGACTCTGGCTTGGCTTTGGAAAAACCTCAGCCTCTTCCCTTGCAAGGGCAGTTTAGGATGGAAATGCAATTGTTTTCAGAATTCGGCACAGCCAGGCACACCCAAACAGATAAAGGGCTTTGGAAGAAAGGAAAAAAAAAAAAAAAAAAAAAAAAAAAAAAAAAAAAGGGAGTGTGTCTACAGGATGGGGACGCTTAGAAAAGGGGAAGGCTGTGTTGGTTTCCTATGGTGGTGGTAGTGGTAGCGAAAATATCTGTTCATCGCAACGCTAAACGGACAGCATAAACATTTGATACCCCCTGTGCTGGACGAACCAGCACGCGTCATATAACGACCAGGCGTCGGGGCCTTTGGGCGGCAACCGGCAACCACACCCTGGGAGGGGGCTTCCGCGCGGGCGTGGGAGGCCGTACAGCAGTCCCTGCCAGCTTGGGGTGCGTGCGGGCGGCGGGTGGGGGTGCGTGGGGGACCGCCGGCGGCCCCCCCGCGGGGAGGGAACGGTTCTTACAGTCACTGCTCGGCGCGAAGGGCGCGCGGCGGCGGCCGAGGGAGCGGTCTTCGGCGGGCGCCTCGGGAGGCCTCTTACCGGCGGGCAGCGGGAAGGCGGACGCGGTGTGGAGCAGCACCAGGCAGACAGCCACGACATCCCATAACTTCATCTTAGAGTCCCGTCCGGCGGCGGCACCTGCACGGGCGGGGAAGAGGACCGGCGAGTGCGCGTTAGGCCGGGACGCCCGGGACGCGGCATCCCGGCGGGTCCTGGTGCCCCCCTTCAAACTCGTCACGGCCCTCCTCCCGGACGGCTGCAGCCCAGCGGTTCCTTGGGCATCCCGCGCCCTCCTTCCAAGTCCCGTCTGCGTCCCAGGCGCGGCTGGCTCTCCACATCCAATCTATCTACAACTGCCCTTCTCTTCTGCTACTGGATCCGGGGGTCAGATTTCCCAGCGGGGCCGCTGCCCCTGCTCGTACCAACTCGACGACAGCACGATACCTGGCCAACACGACGAAACCAGTACTGGCATCCCCACCTCCCCATTCCCTGGGAACGACGAGGCAGCGACCACCCTGCATCCTCAGCCCCAGTTAGAGACCTCCCGACCTTCCCGGCAGCTCCCGTAGGTCCAGGGAACCAGCCTTCCACCCAAGCAATCGGCCAGCTTTTCATTTGAGGAATAAAATCAAGGTCCCTCTGCCCGGGGTCTTGATCCTGCTGACAGGGGCAGGCCTGGTGGCCCCACTCACTCCACCCCAGCGCTTCATTACTCACAGTTATTTATGGAAGTATTTTGTTGCTGGACAAGAAGTTAGTAAGGACTTGGAGAATTTTGGCCTGAACGGGAATACCTGCGTTATGTTATTTCCCAAAGCACCAACTCAGTTTAAATTATTACTTCCACCTTTTAAGTTATGAACATTAAACAACGTATGAAGGACCTAGAGGAGCATAAAGTAAGCGCTCAATAAATGCCCCAGCATTGCTGTTAGGTTGCATTTGTCTTGAGAATTTTAATCCTTCGTGGTATACCCTAAGACGCTCTATTTTATTTTTGCAGTTTTGCGAGATTCTGGCCCCAAATCCCTTCACCTCCCAGAGGAGTCTCGAGATCCTCGTGCCCCTGCCACGGTCACTCCGAGACAATTGTACGCCGCCTCTGACGCTGCGGAGGCGCACGGGCATCCGAAGGCCTAGACCACGAAACGGTGCGGAGTTGGGGCTCGGTTCTCAGGGACCGGGGTTGCGTTTGGCCTCCCAGGCCTCAACAGCCCTAGAAAGGCGGACTGCGCAATCGCAGTTGGGGGCGGGCGAGAAAAAGGCACTGTCAACTCGGGGCTTGCCCCACCCAATCAGGAGGTGGAGAGGACCCAGGCACCTCGAGGTATGATGTTACCCAGTGTCTTCCCAATGCCAGGGTTCCAGTTTCCAAGGGAATTCTCAAGTGGGAACTACGAGATTCATGCAACTGATCATCCCCTCTCCTCCAAATACGATTCTAAGGAAAATCTCCTTGAACTTTTGCCATGGGAGAGAGCAAGACGGTTTCCAGGTAAAAGCAGAAACTTCGGCCTGACATCTTTCTATACGTTCCCAGGCTTACCCGCCTCCCTTCCAGCAGCCCTACCCCCATCTCCACCCAGAACTCCCGCCCAGATTCCCTTGCAGGCCACCCGGGGAAGCGTTTAATTCGGTCTCCACCTCCCACCGCTGCGGAGACGAATGCATTTTCCATCCCTCGGGAGTCTGTTCGCTAAGCAACTGTGAGGCTCGGGGCGTTTGTAGAGGCTGGGAACTCCAGGCAACCTGTAGCTCCGGGCATCTCATGCCGCACTGGCTGGTTTACAAACCCGGGGGGAAAGGTCTGGGTTCTGGCGCAGCGGCCCAGGCAACACTGCACCCACGCCGTGCAAATGAGCGCACAGAGAGGAATGGGGGGACGCGAGGCTTCCCGCCCCCTCGCCCCGGTGCCAGCTCCAGGATGCGTGCGAAATGGCTGGCGGCCCTGAGGAGCAGGGAGCCGCGGGGTTAATGCGCCATTCCAAATCGAGGTGCCCGCCAGCAGGAAGCGACAGAGGCACCAGATTTCCCTTCCGCATTAAGAGGGTTTTTCCTTTTTTTCCTGCTTGGCCGACGGAGAGCTTTTTAAATTGGACGTGGAGATCCTCAATTATAAGTGTGGAGAAGTTGGCAAAAGAGGAAACAGTGGAAAAGTCCCCGCTTGGCCAGAGGAGGCTCCCGGCTCCCATTCCCGCCCGCGGCCGGGTGCGGCGCAGGCCCGGAAAGCACGCTCCCACCTCCCCCGCGACAGGGAGGCGCATTCTTCCCTCGGAGCATCGCCGGGGCCGGCTCTACTCGGGCGGCTCTTTAGTTCCCGGTATCTGCTGGGCGAAGGAAGAGGCGGGGGATTGGGGCCTCAGCACACACAGCGATCTACTGGGACGCTTTTCTCAGAGCCCATCTGCGCTCCCCAACTCACCCCTCCTCCCCCCCCCGCCCCTTCCCTGTTTGTCCCCTAACCGCTTTCTCAAAGCACAGCTGCAAGACGTGTTTCCGCCTGCAACCAGCCGTCTTTGCTATGCGCGCGAATTGCTTAACGCGCTGCCTGCCACGTGCGGTAACCACGCTTTCCTCCCGAAGTCGGCTCCACCAGGTGCCCCCGCACCCATTTTTGTACCCCACAGGACGCCTCCCCTCTGCGCCCCGGACCATCGCCGCCCGCAGGGAAAGGGCGCGTCGCGGGCGCCCGCACCGGTGGTCCCCAGGCCCGCGGCGGAAAGGGCGCCCTGGAGAGCCGCAGTGCCGGCAAAAGCCGCGGCTTATGGTGGGGCGCTTCTGGGTTCCCAGCACCAGGGGGCACCAGAAACCGTCCGAGTCCTGTAGTGCCCACGCGAAAGAGGCTGCGTCGTCTTTTTAAGTATAAAACCAGTGAACAAGCACCTCCCTACCTCATTCCCCCTAATACCAAATTACTCCCGAAAATTCCGGATGTGTTCACCTTCACCAGTGTGCCTGCTCTTCAGGCTCCGACCCTTCATCCTCTCCCCAGTTTTCCCCTTCCCACCTCACCTGAGCTAGTGTCTCAGTAACCTTTTAGAATTCCCCCTCCCCCAATTCCCCGCATTCTCGTGATAGCTTCCCCGGGGGCGAGTGCCTCCGCCGCCCGTGCCCCCGCGCCTTCCTCTGTCTGGCAGGCTGGGAGGTTTGTTTGGGCATTGCCTTCAAGATCCAGGGCTCCTGGAGAGAAAAGGGAGGCGGGGTGGTGGGGGGCGTGCTGTAACTCCGAGTTTTCTTTTTGGGGTAGGGACACAAGTTGCTGAAAGATGTATTGCTTTTCTTAAGTGTGCCTCGTGTCCTAGCCTGACGGAGAACTTATTTCCCCCTAACTGTTGGGCCCAAGACCAGGGGAAAGAAAAAGGAGGGACGTTTTCTGCGTGCAGTCTGGGGAGAGGTCTCTCTGTAAGGGGCCCGAGGCCATATTCCGGGGGGGAGGGGGGACGGCCGAAACCCTTTCGACAGTGGGCTGGGACGCTGCGGGCTCCCTGGGCATCTGACACTTGTTGAAAAGGCGACCCTGTCCCAAACCCCGCCAAACCGAAGGTGTGGCTAAACAGGGCGCTAGAGTTGGTCCGGGCCGGGCGGAAACCCAGCGGCTCCTACTTTGAGGTGGAGGAAGGAAGAGGTGCGTGCGTGAAGTGAAGCTGCATTTCTTCCTCGGAATACTTTAAATGTACATACATTCAAAGTACTGTGGAGTACGCTCGAGCACACCGGCGGCAGGGGCCGGAAGAGTTGTGTTTGTCCCCGCCAATGAGCAAAAATGTTGGGAGCAATGGGTTGGGCAGCACCCCCCTCCCCACCCGGGCGCGCGCGTCGGCTCTGCGGGCGGGTTTGCCACAGCCCAAACCAGGGAGGCGCCAGGAGGCTGGGGGTTCCGGTAAAAGGCCACACCACTCCCCGATGAGGGTTCGTTTTCACCGGGTGGGTCTGGTAAACCAAGCCACGGCGCAATCAGCCCAGAGGTGCAAGGTAATGGTGGAGGGTGTTATTGGGGAGGTGGCACAGTACAGGAAAAAAAGGTCACTAAAATAACTTCGATGGCCTGGCGGAGACATTGAAGAATTTCAAGAAACTGATGGAGGCGGAGACTCAAGTCCTGGACTGTCCAGGCAGCCCCTCTCCTAACCTCGACGGTCATGGTTAGTTGGGGTTGCGGGGATTATCAAAGTGCAAGCAATCGGGTTCAGAAAAGGGTGAGGAATGTAGCTTTGCAAGACAGCACCCTGGAAGAGGCTAGCCCGCTATTTTTATGTTCTCAGCACCTTTGCAGCAGTCCCTTCCACGGTGTGCGCCTTCCTTCGGAACAGACCCAAATAAGCTCAATAGTAAGTTATACTCCAGACTATGGTATCTCTGCAGCTGCACGTCCAGAGAGGACACTTTCTGGTCGCGGTGGGTTCAAAGATAACCCCAAGCCCGCACCTGTCCCAGACTTACAGAAGACTGAGTCGGGGAGGGAAACTGACCCTCTCGGGCATGCCGGGGGTCCACAGGCATCGGGCACCAGCGCTCTTTGCCCACGTGGAAAGGCAACGGCATCTCTGCAAGGCCAGCCCCTCTCCCGTTCAACTTCTCTCTCTCCTCTATCCTCCCGGCGCCTCGGTTCCATATAGTCTTTCCTCTTTCCAGTCAGCCACTGCCTGGGGTCCGGCTGGCTGCGCTCCTCTGTCTCTGGCAGGCCGCCGCGCCCTCCCGCGACTCAGGCGCCACCCGCCCTCACCCCTCCTGGCCTGCCTCACTCACCCGGATCCGGTCTCCAGACCCTGCTGGACAACTCCAGGAGCCCCGAGTCCCAGCCAGGAGCCCCATCCGGGCCAAGGGCAGGAGCGCAGAGCCCCGCCCAACGGGCCAGCACGAGTTCGAAATCCTGGGACAGCGAGTGCGCTGGAGGCAGCCAGCGCTCCCGCTGCCGCCGCCGCCGAGAAGGCGAGGGATGCCGACAGCCTGGGCCGATGCCCTGCACCCCCAGAAACCGAGGTCCGAGCAGCCGCCGCTGCCTTGGGTGGGGGGGGTGACAAGGCTGCGCGCGCTGCGTTTGCCGGGCTGCGCGGGCTCAAGCGGCGGGTGGGCGTGGTCTAGCAGTGGTGGCAGCGTCTTGCGCCTTCGGGGCGCAGCGCTTGGTAGCAC